TTGGAGCTTCCGAGCCGTCTTCAAAGGCAACCCCACGTAGAGAGCGTTGCAGTAGTCTAAACGGGATGTAACCAGAGCGTGGACTACCGTGGCCAAGTCAGACTTCCCAAGGTACGGGCGCAGTTGGCGCACGAGTTTTAACTGTGCGAATGCTCCCCTGGTCACCGCCGAAACCTGGGGTTCCAGGCTCAGCGATGAGTCCAGGATCACACCCAAACTGCGAACCTGCGTCTTCAGGGGGAGTGCGACCCCATCCAACACAGGCTGTAACCCTATACCCTGTTCGGCCTTACGACTAACCAGGAGTACCTCTGTCTTGTCTGGATTCAATTTCAATTTGTTCGCCCCCATCCAGACCGTCACAGCGGCCAAGCACCGGTTCAGGACCTCGACAGCCTCCTTAGTAGCAGGTGGAAAGGAGTGACAGAGTTGGACATCATCTGCGTACAGATGACACCGCACTCCGAAACTCCGGATGATCTCGCCCAGCGGCTTCATGTAGATGTTAAACAACATGGGAGACAGTATTGAACCCTGAGGAACACCACAAGACAAAGGTTGTGGGGTTGAACAGGAGTCTCCCAGTAACACCTTCTGAGACCGACCCTCGAGGAATGAGCGGAGCCACTGCAGAACAGTACCTCCAAGACCCAAAATTTTGGTTATTGCCTTTGTTTATTGATGTGTTGTGGGCTTGGCCTCATGTAAGCCGCACCGAGTCCCTTGGGGAGACGTGCTGAGTGGAGATGTGCTGAGAATCATTCTGGCCTGCCCAACTGTGGGGAGATAATAGCGGGTTACAAATAAAGTTATTATTATTATTATTATTATTATTATTATTATTATTATTTAGTGGATGAAAACAATGTATAGGGAAACCTCTGCCCTTGACAACAGAATGCTAACTGTTTGAGTGTGGAAGAACCAATGGAAAGGGAAAAAGGAATGGAGTTTTGCTGGCAACACACAACTTCCCAGTGCAACCTTTTCTTGCAGCTTGCATTGTAAGGTCCCTCCTCTAGACTTTGGTGCAGAGCTCCCCCTAGTGGAGATGTGCTGAGAATCATTCTGGCCTGCCCAACTGTGTTATTGCAGACATTAGATAAGTCTATGGTAATACATGTGAAATGCTTTAAATACCAACAGTTCCAGGCTAATGCTGACTAATATTATTAAATTTGCCTTCAGACATCCATATGGTAAGATCTATATATGGATATTCCTTTTTTTAAAAAAAAGATACACATATTTGAGTGGGATTTTGTGGTCGTTTTATGGGAAATGTTTCATATCTGTGTTTGTGTGCATTTTAACATACAGTTGATAAGACTTGGAGTTTATACACACACACATTCATATAAGTATGTATCTTTGCTGAGTCACCAGTACTTTTGGGGGAGCGTTTTAAAGTGGTATAAAACTGCATTAATTCTACAGTGTAGATGCAGTCAAAGCCTTCAAAATCAGTGCAGCCGCAGCTTCCTTTCTTCCATCCATCTGCAATGCAGTCTTCTCACTTTCCTGCTACCAAGCATCTTTGGTCTGTTTGAGACAAGTGTGAATGTTGCACTTGGCCACCTCGATTAGCATTTAATGGCCTTGCAGCTTCAAAGCCTGGCTGATTGCTGCCTGGGTGGATCATTTCTTGGGAGGTGTTAGTTGACCCTGATTTATTGTTGTCTGGAATTCCCCAGGAATGCTGGGGAGAATGCTTCTGGAAGCAGGCGGACTTAGAATCCAAGAATCCAAGAGTTGGAAGAGACCTCCTGGGCCATCATCCCGTCCAACCCCATTCTGCCAAGAAGCAGGAATATTGCATTCAAATCACCCCTGACAGATGGCCATCCAGCCTCTGTTCAAAAGCTTCCAAAGAAGGAGCCTCCACCACACTCCGGGGCAGAGAGTTCCACTGCTGAACGGCTCTCACAGTCAGGAAGTTCAGATGGAACCTGGACGATGGCCATCCAGCCTCTGTTTAAAAGCTTCCAAAGAAGGAGCCTCCACCACACTCCGGGCAGAGAGTTCCACTGCTGAAAGGCTCTCACAGTCAGGAAGTTCTTCCTCATGTTCAGATGGAATCTCCTTTCTTGTAGTTTGAAGCCATTGTTTCGTGTCCTAGTCTCCAGGGAAGCAGAAAACAAGCTTGCTCCCTCCTCCCTGTGGTTTCCTCTCACATATTTATACACGGCTATCATATCTCCTCTCAGCCTTCTCTTCTTCAGGCTAAACATGCCCAGCTCCTTAAGCCGCTCCTCATAGGGCTTGTTCTCCAGACCCTTGATCATTTTAGTCGCCCTCCTCTGGACACATTCCAGCTTGTCAATATCTCTCTTCAATTATGGTGCCCAGAATTGGACACAATATTCCAAGTGTGGTCTAACCAAAAGGTTCTTTCTCTCACCCTGGACATTATTTCACAAAGGTGTGTGTGTGTGTGTGCCTGAACGCACACGCACACACACACACACTCCACTTGCTTCACTTTCAACAGACCTCTGAAGATACAGATGCAGGCGAAACGTTAGCAGAGAATGGAGCTGGAACAAGGCCCAACAGCCCAAAAACTCACAGCAACCCAGAATGGGATTGGACTGGATGACCTCTGGGGGTCTCTTCCAATTCCATGGTTCCTGGATGGCTGTCTGTCAGGGGTGATTTGAATGCAATATTCTTGCTTCTTGGCAGAAGGGGGTTGGACTGGATGGCCCATGAAGTGTCTTCCAACTCTGATTCTTTGATTGTATGATTCTATAAGGCAAGTGTGCTGGTACGGCTGTACCAGGAGCTCCAACTTCATTTTCTTTCTGTTATCTGTTTGCAGTCATAGGGCAGGCCTCCTGTCCATCATAATTAAGCTTTGGTTCCGCCCCTTGTTCAGGGCTCTGGGAGGCAAAGGAGCCATTTTTTGGTCAGTCTCACCCAAGGAAACTAGACTATAGGACATAGACCAGCTTGTCCCGTAGAAAAGCTTCTTTTCTCAAGACTATCCAGGGAAAAAGAGCTTCCAGGGAAAAGGTCCCAAGGCTCTGGCTGAGAGCTCACAGCCTCTCAGCCTCACAGCAATCAGAGGGAAAACAGCCCTGAAGTTTCAAAGAACTCTCTGAGGGAGGACAGCACTACAGATCCACTGAACTCCAGCTGAAATATCTTCAAGCCTCGGCTGGTAGGTCTACTCGATACCCAGATGCATTTGGAATCGGTAGTAGGTCCCACACCAATGAGGCATAGATAGAAAGCAGCCTGGAAGAGGTTAAAAGGGAGTTTTTCCTACAGAGAAGGTTTAGTTAATCAAAGTCAGGTGCCAGTCCATTGAGGACTAGACTAAGAAAGCCTTGAAGTGTTGTTTGAACCATTGAAGATTTGTTGTTTGTTCCATAATAAAGACTTTGTTGCATCATTAAAGACTCTAAAGACCATCACTTCAGAAAAATCCCTGAGAACCTCTCTTTGAGGCCCCCTGGCTTCCTGCTGGGCTTAAAGTATATGTCCTATAGAAAAGTACAGCTGTTACAGGCCCAGCGCGTGACAGAACATTGGGTCAAGAGAGACTTAGAATCTTAGGGTCCTTCCACGCAGTCCTATATTCCACAATCTGACCGCAGAATTATCTGCTTTAAACTGGAATATTTGAGTCTCCACCTCCAGATAACCTGGGATAAACAGATAATCTGGGATCGAATTCTCGTATAGAGGGGCAGTGTGGAAGGGCCCACGGATTCCTTAGAGTTGGAAGAGGCCACCAGGGCCATGGACACTTTCCATCTTGTCCATCCCCTTCTTGAATTTGTAGTGCCTAGAACTGGACACTATTCCAGGTGAGGATTGACCAAAAGTAGAATAGAAGGGGACTATGACTTCCCTTGATCTGGACATTAGACTCCTATCGACACCGCCTAGACCAGTGTTTCTCAACCTGGGGGTCGGGACCCCTAGGAGGGTTACGAGCAGGTGTCAGAGGGGTCGCCAAAGACCATCAAAAAACACTGTATTTTCTGTTGGTCATGGTTGTTTGGGAAGTTTGGCCCAATTCTATCATTGGTGGGGTTCAGAATGTTCTTTGATTGTGGGTGAACTATAAATCCCAGCAACTACAACTCCCAAATGTCAAGGTCTATTTTCCCCAAACTCCACCAGTGTTCACATTTGGGCATATTGAGTAGATTCATGCCAAGTTTGGTCCAGATCCATCATTGTTTGAGTCCACAGTGCTCTCTGGATGTAGGTGAACTACAACTCCAAAACTCAAGGTCAATACCCACCAAACCCATCCAGTATTTTCTGTTGGTCATGGGTGTTCTGTGTGCCAGGTTTGGTTCAATTCCATCATTGTTGGAGTTCAGAATGCTCTCTGAGTGTTGGCGAACTATAAATCCCAGCAAATGTCAAGGTCTATTTTCCTCAAACTCCACCCAATGCCTCACCAAACCAATTGTCCAGTCATTTTTACTGTTGGTCATCGCGAAGTTTGTGATGACCATCTGTGTTCACATTTGGGCATATTGAGTATTTGTGCCAAGTTTGGTCCAGATCCATCATTGTTTGAGTCCACAGTGCTCTCTGGAAGTAGGTGAACTACAACTCCAAAACTCAAGGTCAATGCCCACCAAACCCATTCAGTATGTTCTGTTGGTTATGGGAGTTCTGTGTGCCAAGTTTGGTTCGATTCCTGGGCATGTTGAGTATTTGTGTAGAGTTTGGTCCAGGTCTAACATAGTTTGAGTCCACAGTGCTCTCTGGAAGTAGGTGAACTACAACTCCAAAACTCAAGGTCAACGCCCACCAAACCCATCCAGTATGTTCTGTTCCCTGCCACGCAATGCTATGGCCCACATGGGGGTTCTGTGTGGGAGGTTTGGCCCAATTTTATCGTTGATGGGGTTCAGAATGCTCTGTGATTGTAGGTGAACTATAAATCCCAGCAACTACAACTCCCAAATGTCAAGATTCTATTTTCCCCAAACTCCACCAGTGTTCACATTTGGGCATATTGTTATTCTTGTAGAGTTTGGTCCACATCCATCATTGTTTGAGTCCACAGTGTCCTCTGGATGTAGGTGAACTACAACTCCAAAACCAAAGGACACTGCCCACCAAACCCTTCCAGTATGTTCTGTTGGTCACAGGAGTTCTGGGTGCCAAGTTTGGTTCAATTCCATCATTGGCGGAATTCAGAATACTCTTTGATTGTAGGTGAACTATAAATCCCAGCAACTACAACTTCCCAATGACAAAATATATCCCCCATCCAACTCCACCAGTATTCAAATTTGGGCGTATTGTGTATTTGTGCCAGAGTGGTTTGACATATTCGTTCTCTGTAACATTTTCCTGCATATTTCCTACATATTTACATTACAATTCATAACAGGAGCAAGATTACAGTTGTGAAGTAGCAACAAAAATAATGTTATGGTTGTGGGTCACCACAAGGGGTTGCAGCATTAGGAAGGTTAAGAAACACTGGCCTAGAATTACATTGGCTTTTTTAGTTGCATCACACTGTTGGCTCATGTCCAACTTGTTGTTTACTAAGAGTCCTACATCCCTTTCTCATGGACAGTTTTCAAGCTTGGTGCCCCCAACCTATATCTGTGCTTAAGTGTAGTACTGTGCATTTCTCGATGTTGAAGATCAATTTTATTAGTTCTGGCCCTGTCTCCCATCAATCAAGGTCATTTTGGGTCCTGTCTTCTGAAGTATCCGCTCTCCCTCCCAATTTGGTGCAAATCTATGATAAGGATGTGCTTGAAGCCCAGTGGGAACGAGAGGTCACATCTCTCTCTTGGGCTGGACCCATGAGGCTCGGAAGGGCACTGGGGGCTCTGTGATGGTGGCCCCCCACTTCCCAGGGAGGCTTTCCTGCCATGCCTTCTCCTCGTGGCCCCCTTCAGCTTGGGTCATCCTGGCCAAACCGGAGGACAGGACGCAGGTGACCAGGAGGGCCCCAGCCATGGCACACAGGACCATGCCCACTGCCCGGCAGGTGCCCAAGGCATGGTTGTACTCCACCGCTTGTTGGTCCAGAACCACAAACTCAGCTTCCCCAATGCCTTCCAGTTTGGGAGGAAGGAGGTAGCCGGTGGCTAGTGCTGCGCTTCCAAGGAGCAAGAGCAGGCTGCCAGCAGAGAGAGACACCTGGAGAAGAGAAGAGAAGAGAAGAGAAAGAGAAAGAGAAAGAGAAGGAGAAGAAGGAAAAAGAGAAGAAAAAAGGTGGAAGAGAATGGAGGGAGGAAAGAGCGAAGAAGAGAAGCAGGGAGGACGACATGAGCTAAGAACAAGAAGAAAAGCGGAAAGAGGGAGGGGAGAAGCAGGAGAAGAGTGGAAGAAGAGGGAGAAAGAGTTGGAAAAGAGGGAAAAGGAGAAGAGAAGGAGAAAAGAGAGAAGGAAAAGAGGGAGAGAGAGAAGAGGGAGAAAGAAAAGGAGATGACAAATAAGGAAAAGGAAAGGGTGAAGGAAGAAGGAAAACAAAAAGAAGAAGGAGAAGAGAGAGAAGGAGGAGATGAGAGGGAAGGAAAAGGCAAACGAGAAGGAAAAGAGCAAGAAAGAGAAGAGAGAGAGAGAAGGAAAATAGGGAGAATGAGGAGAAGAAGGAGAAGGAGAAGAGGGAGAAGGAGTTGGAAAAGAGGGAAAAGGAGGAGAAGAGAGAGAAGGAAAAGGAGGAGAAGGAAAAGGAAAAGGGGGAGAGAGAAGGGAGAAGGAAAAGGAGATGACAAATAAGGAGAAGGAAAAGAGGGAGAAGGAAAAGAGGGAGAAGGAGAAGAAGGAAAAGGAAAAGAAGGAGAAGAGAGAGAAAGGAGATGAGAGGGAAGAAAAGGAGAAGGAAAAGGAAAAGAGAAGAAGGAAAGAGGGGAGAAAGAGAAGAAGGAAAAGAGGGAGAATGAGAAGAGGGAGAAGGAGAAGAGGGAGAAGGAGTTGAAAAAGAGGGAAAAGGAGAAGAAAAAGAGTAGAGAGAGAAGGAAAAGGAGAAGGAAAAGGAAAAGAGGGGGGAGAGAGAAGAGGGAGAAAGAAAAAGGAGATGACAAATAAGAAAAAGAGGGAGAAGGAGAAGAGGGAGAAGGAAAAGAAGAAGGAGAAGAGAGAGAAGGAGGAGATGAGAGGGAAGGAAAAGGCAAAGGAGAAGGAAAAGAGCAAGAAAGAGAAGAGGGAGAGAGAGAAGGAAAATAGGGAGAATGAGGAGAAGAAGAAGGAGAAGAGGGAGAAGGAGTTGGAAAAGAGGGAAAAGGAGAAGAGAAGGAGAAGAGAGAGAAGGAAAAGGAGGAGAAGGAAAGAGGAAAGGAAGGAGAGAAGAAAAGGGAGAAGAAGGAAAAAGAAGGATGACAAATAAGGAAGAAGGAAAAGGGAGAAGGAGCGTAAAAAGAGGAGAAGGAGATAGAAGGAGAAGGAAAAGAAGAAGAGGAGAGAAAGAGAAGAGAGGAGAAAGAGGAGATGAGAGGGAAGGAAGAAAAGGAAAAGAGCAAGAAGGATAAGGAGGGAGAAAGAGAAGAAGGAAAAGAGGGAGAATGAGAAGAGGGAGAAGGAGAAGAGGGAGAAGGAGTTGAAAAAGAGGGAAAAGGAGAAGAAAAAGAGTAGAGAGAGAAGGAAAAGGAGAAGGAAAAGGAAAAGAGGGGGGGAGAGAGAAGAGGGAGAAAGAAAAAGGAGATGACAAATAAGAAAAAGAGGGAGAAGGAGAAGAGGGAGAAGGAGTTGAAAAAGAGGGCAAAGGAGAAGAAAAAGAGTAGAGAGAGAAGGAAAAGGAGAAGGAAAAGAGGGGGGAGAGAGAAGAGGGAGAAAGAAAAAGGAGATGACAAATAAGAAAAAGAGGGAGAAGGAGAAGAGGGAGAAGGAGTTGAAAAAGAGGGCAAAGGAGAAGAAAAAGAGTAGAGAGAGAAGGAAAAGGAGAAGGAAAAGAGGGGGGAGAGAGAAGAGGGAGAAAGAAAAAGGAGATGACAAATAAGAAAAAGAGGGAGAAGGAGAGAGGGAGAAGGAAAAGAAGAAGGAGAAGAGAGAGAAGGAGGAGATGAGAGGGAAGGAAAAGGCAAAGGAGAAGGAAAAGGAAAAGAGCAAGAAGGAAAAGAGGGAGAGATAGAAGGAAAATAGGGAGAATGAGAAGAGGAAGAAGAGGGAGAAAGAGAAGAGGGAGAAGGAGTTGGAAAGTAGGGGAAAGGAGAAGAAAAAGAGGGAGAGGGAGAAGGAGAAGAGGGATAAGGAAAAGACGAAGGAGAACAGGAAGAAGGAGATGGGAGGAAAGGAAAACGCAAAGGAGAAGAAAAGGGAGAAGAAGAAGAGGGAGAGAGAGGAGAAAGAAAAGAGGAAGAATGAAAAGAGGAAGAAGAAGAAGAAGGAAAAGAAGGAGAAGAAAAGAGAAGCAGGAGAAGAAGGAAAAGAGGGAGAAGGATAAAAAGAGGAAAGAGAAGAGGGAGAAAGCAAAGGAGGAGAAGGAGAAGGACAGCCTTTAGGTTCATGCCATCATCATCTTCATCATCATCATCGGATTGCAGAAGAGCTCAAGGGCAGCCCTTTCAGATTAGCCAAAAGATCTCTCTTGGCTTGTATTTGTATAGGCAACTGCCAGAAGATTATTGTCATCTCGAAGAGATAGTGGCCTGCTGCCTAGTTGTCACTTTTCGCCCTCTCTGTCTCCCTGATCTGCTTAGAGATGAACACATGCTGGCTTTGCTTCTTGATAAAATCATGTATCCTGTCCATTTGCCAAATGCTTGAGTCTTGAAGATGTGATTAATGACCTTGAAGGGTGGGCTTGGCAAAGGGTCGAGCTTGAACATGCCGGGAGCAAGATATATAAGGTAGATTATTAGGAATTGTGGGAGTTGAAGTTCAAAACACCTGGAGGGCCCATATTTGCCCATGTCTGCATATAGACTCATAGAATCACAGAGTGTGGTGGAGGCTCCTTCTTTGGAAGCTTTGGAACAGAGGCTGGATGGCCATCTGTCAGGGGTGATTTGAATGCAATATTCCTGCTTCTTGGCAGAATGGGGTTGGACTGGATGAGGTCTCTTCCAACTCTTTGACTCTATGATTCTATGACTGTCGGAGAAGTGACTTTACCAGGTTTTGCTCATATTTTAGAGGGAAGTCACAATGCATGGAAAACTACTAAAGTAGTACCTGTTGCAAAGGTAGCCAAAGTATTGTCAACTGCAATCTCAGAGCTCAATGGATGTTGAGGCTCAATGGGTGGAAGCAGGGAGTGGATCATGAACTGGATGGTCATCTGTCGGGAGTGCTTTGACTGGGTATTTTCCTGCATGGCAGGGGGTTGAATGGGTGGCCCTTGGGGGCTCTTCCAATGACCTCTACAACCCAATGACATCCTTTTTGGGTGGCATCCATGACGCTCCAAGGTTTGTCTGCAGGTGGCGCCAGACGCATCCTGACCTGAGGATGCATTGCATGCGCTCAAGGGCAGATGCTGCAGCTCAGCCCTTTGCAGCCAATTCTGGTGCATTTCTCCCACTGCATTCACTGCTGCTCCTCCATAGTTCCATACTGTCGTCATGGGTCTTCAAGCCAAACTGGACTTATGGAAACCTATCCTAGGAGTTTCCTTGCAAGATGCATTTAGGGGAGGTTTGTCATCACCTTTCGCTGTGGCTGAGAGAATGTAACTTGGTCTAAGTTTCCTGGGGAATTTCCCTGGGGAATTTCAGCAAGGAGATCAAGGCTGGATCTACACTGCCATATAAAATCCAGATTATCTGCTTTGAACTGGAGAGGAGATTCCAACACGAGGAAGAACTTCCTGACTGTGAGAGCCGTTCAGCAGTGGAACTCTCTGCCCAGGAGTGTGGTGGAGGCTCCTTCTTTGGAAGCTTTTAAACAGAGGCTGGATGGCCATCTGTCAGGGGTGATTTGAATGCAACATTCCTGCTTCTTGGCAGGGGGTTGGACTGGATGGCCCATGAGGTCTCTTCCAACTCTTTGATTCTATTATTCTATCTGGCAGTGGAGACTCAAATAATCCAGTTCAAAGCTGATAATGTGGAGTATCTGCTTTGATAATCTGGATCGTATGCCAGAGTAGAAGGGGCCCTAGTGTGTATCAGTGCAGTTTGTCACCACTTGAACTGCCATGGCTTATTGCTATGGAGTCTTGGGAATTGTAGTTTTGCAAGGTCTTGATCCTTCTTGGTCAAAATAGTGCCTCACCAAACTACAACTCCCAGTGTAGACACACCTTTCTAGTCTATTTTTTCCTGTTTCTCTAGAGCAGGTGTGGGTCAACTTGGGCCCTCCAGGTGTTTTGGACTTCAACTCCCACCGGCTGTTAGGAATGGTGGGAGTTGAAGTCCAAAACACCCGGAGGACCCAAGTTGACCCACACCTGCTCTAAAGCAATTGTCCCTTCAAGGTTTACAAAATTTCTGACTGTAGACTTACCTTCCAAAGGACGGACGCCCATCCACCACTGGATGGAGAGTTTGGGGGCCTCCCAAGATCATCCAAACCGGCACAGTCTTCGTAGAAAAGGTGCAGATAGGAGCGAACGCCATACCACTTCCCTTCTTCCACGTTCGGGCCCCGATGGCAGCCACACAGGTGCTCACAGGTGGCGGTGGGCATTGGACCTTTTAGGGGATTGAATACAGAATGACAACAACACTGTAGATAAGTCTGTTTACGTTTGGAGAAAGCCTATTTATTGTAGTCTCAAGACCAAGTAGAAACAGGAGCAGGTTAATATATTTGTGGACAGTGACACTGCCTTTTGTTAGCTAGCTATGAAGCAAATAATCTGATCTGGATTTGCAATTGAGTGTTGCAGTGTGGAGTGATCGTTAGCTCAAGCCAACCACATTCTTTTCTAGGCGTACATCTACACTGCAGAACTGATACAGTTTGACATCACTTTAACTGCCATGGCTGAATGCCATGGAACCGTGTGTGTGTGTATATATAGACACTGAGAACTGGGAAGCCCTGGCCCTTGAGCACTCCAGCTGGAGGTCAGCTGTGACCAGCAGTGCTGCAGAATTTGAAGAGGCATGAATGGAGAGTGAAAGAGAGAAACGTGCCAAGAGGAAGGCGCATCAAGCCAACCCAGATACGACTAAAGTTGTACCTGTTGCAAAGGTAGCCAAAGTACTGTCAACTGCAATCTCAGAACTCAATGGATGTTGAGGCTCAATGGGTGGAAGCAGGGAGTGGGTCATGAACTGGATGGCCATCTGTCAGGAATGCTTTGACTGGGTATTTTCCTGCATGGCAGGGGGTTGAATGGGTGGCCTTTGGGGCCCTTCCAATGACCTCTACAACCCAATGACAGTTGGGCATCTTTTTTGGGTGGCATCCATGATGCTCCAAGGCTTGTCTGCAGGTGGTGCCAGACGCATCCTGACCTGAGGATGCATTGCATGCGCTCAAGGGCAGCTGCTGCAGCTCAGCCCTTTGCAGCCAATTCTGGTGCATTTCTCCCCCTGCATTCACTGCAGCTGCTCCATAGGTCCATCCAACGTTATGGGTCTTCCACCTGGAAACCAATGCCCTCACTGCGGAAGAAGATGCAGATCAAGAATAGGGCTCTACAGCCACCTACAGACTCACAAGACTTCTGATCCTAGAAGACTATCCTACTCGGCCAACGAGGGATCGCCTAAGTAAGTAAGTAAGTAAGTAATACACACACTAACATACATACATACAGTAGAGTCTCGCTTATCCAACCTTCACTTATCCGACATTCCATCTTATCCGAAGCTCTTATTCGACACCCCCCTTTTCCTTCAGCATTTCCCCTTCAATTAAAGGGGTGTGTAATCAGAAATTCAATGTGCAGATTTGATCAATGTGAATTTAATATGATGTGTGGGAATGAATGGAAGTATGGAAGATGAATGTATGGATGGAGCCAATAATTTTGGAGACACCAGTATAATATTAAGGCCTGACACCAGTATAATATTAAGGCAATGACTGTCTACCTGCTTACTGGACTGTAATTAAAAGTTGCGAATAAGAACTGAAAAGTAAACTCTGATAAGAATTGGGTTAGTGATAACAGAAATGTTTACAATGTTAAGAAGGAAGTCAACATAAGATCAACACCAATCAAGAACAGTCAACATCTGGCCAGAAAACTGAGATGGATCCAGGATAGAAGACGTCGCACCTCAGAGTAAAGTCACACTTGGGACACATGGCTTGCATGGCCCCCATGGCTTCTCCAGCCCTGAAAATAGTGCTTTCCTACCTGTTTCCCCCTGCATGCATCCAACCTCTGCTCCTATAACCCCGTGCATGTCTCTCCTGACCCGCGGATACCAAGATCTATAATTTCTCCCCGATATCCGCAGACCTATATCATATGTTTCCTTTTCGTCCCCCTAAACTCCCTCACCAATCTTTCACTCCCATGGGTCCACAGGGTCTTGCTGGAGTTCAGCCTGTGATTGTGTTGCAGGATCAGGGTGCTTTGGATGTGGGGAGTGATATCAATGAGTTTCAAAATGGCAATGGTGTGGTTAATAATATTGATGCAGAGAATGACCAGGAGATCCCTGTACAAAGTGTAGTTTCCCATGAGAATGTCCCTGAGGAGTGTGGAGATGATGGTGTGCTCCCTGATTGTTAGCAGAGTCTTCCCATGATAGGGAACATGAAAACAGCTCGGCACCTAGCCCAGATGCAGAAATTAATGAGCAAATAGATAGAAGGGAGGAGATCAGTCAAAACAGGAGAGCCGAACAGTGGCTTCGGCGTTCTGCCAGGCTCCGAGAGAAAAAGATAAGAAATTCTCAGCTAAAGCGAAACCAATTTCTGAGCACTAGAGACATAGCTAACGAGGAGATAAATTAGAGAGGAAATTAGTCAAAACAGACAGGCCGAACAGTGCCTTTGGGGTTCTGCCAGGCTCTGACAGAAAAAGATAAGGGGATCGCAAGTAAAATGAAACCAATTCCTGAGTGCGTGGAATAGCTTAACGAGGGGATAAAAGTTTCAAGTATGGGAAATATAGTCAGATGAAGCATCGCTGGAATCAAGTATAGTTCTCATCCTTTTTTTCATGGAAGCTTTGCTTGGAAGATTCTTGTGTAAGTATTTCTTGTTCATGGTTTGGACTTTTGGGGTATATGAATTCATGGGCTGGATTAATGTTTCCTGTTTTTCTGAATTATATTAGAGAAGTGTGGACTTTGTTTTTATGGACTTTGCTGAACTTTACCCTAGACTATTTTTGCTCCTGCTTATCTTCTTACCTAATTGGATTTACCTATTTCTTTTAAGTTCTTTTTACTTGCTGCTTTTTAATTATCTTCAATAAAAGGATTGTTTTCCAATCAACAGTGTGGTGTTTACAGTTAGAGAGCTTTTCCTGTTCTAATATATGCAGAGGCGGCCCTAGGTAATTTTCAATGGTAAGCAAACAGTATTTTGGCCCCCCCCCCCCCCCCAACCAATACTGATATATATTTTCTGTTCGTCATGGGGGTTCTGTGTGCCATATTTGGTTCAATTCCATCATTGGTGGAGTTCAGAATGCTCTTTGATTGTAGGTGAACTATACATCCCAGTAACTACACTTGCCGCACTTGCTCCCTTGCCTGGCCCGCTTTGGGTCCGGAGGCGTGCCTGAAGACCTCGGCGTGTGCACCAAAAGTCACCTCTTCTCCTGACTTTCTCCTCAGCCATTGGGACAGAGAGAGAGAGAGAGACAGAGGTGGAGATGCCCACCTTTCCTGAAGGTAGGCGCAAAAACAAAGGAGGGAGCGGAGGTGGGAGATACCTCCAGCCGGAGGGGCTCTCTCTCTCTCTCTTGGTCCCAATGGCTGAAGAGAAAGTCAGGAGAAGAGGCGACTTTTGGTGTGCATGCTGGGGTCTTCAGACACGCCTCTGGACCCGAAGCGGGCCAGGCGCGGCGGCTCTGCCCCTTGGCCCACCCGCAAATTGGGAAGAGGAGTGGAGGCGGGTGGAGCGCCAGGGGGAGCCAGCCATGGGGAAGGGATCGAACGTGGAGAACGATTGAGCGCCGGCTCTGCTCGCCCTCCCGGTGGCCAGGTGGAGCAGGAATGAGGGGCTAGGCGAGGCTCAAGGGCCCTTTGGGAAGAGGATCGCCCGGCAGCGAGGCAAGAAGGCCGAGGCTCTCCCTGGACTGCTAGGGCTGTTGTGAGCTGAGAGGGCCCCTGGCAAAAAAAAAAGTGTTCTGCGACTGCTTACTTTGCGTAATGGACGAGCCGCCCCTGTGTGCAACAACAGGCTAGCATCACTTCAGCTGACAATACACTACTTCAGTGGCTTCTTCTTCAATTTGGTGAGATTTATTTGGGCTTCTTCATCTCACCAGGCATACGAACCTTTAGAGCGGCCTGTTGAGCGGCCTGTTGCCAGTACCAGTAACCACATATTGGGTCTCGGTATCTACACTTCAGGTTACACTACCCGCAGCTTGGATCTCACTATCCACAACCGTTTGAAATTGCTCTATTTCACGGGTATTCCCTTTGCCTCTGGCTATTGCCAAATTCGTACTTTATGTTACTGCAGATGTTAATTCTTTAACCATTTTATAAAGCAGTATTTGTTTACTCTTTCTCGAGAAAGAATCAATGATACCTGCCTGGAAAATGTTATGTTCATTCCAAAGGAAGCCTTTTTAGAGTTAGGCCAGCAGAGAATTTCCTTTCCTTCCTTTTAATTCAGACACTTGTAAACACAGCATGTGTCTTCTATTCCTGCGAATCTGCTCTAGTTTGTACTCCAGATTGAAAGGCGTTTACCCAAAGTGCTTAACTCTATAGCTTCGGCACTGTGGGTGGCTCCACCAGAGTTTACGCTAAATCCCAGGACAGGCTCAATGACCCACTAACCTAAAAGTCAACCCTCTGACATAGATTGCAACCTGTGGATTCTGGGAGTTGTAGTCCAAAAAGACAATATATTACCTAAACACTGCCCAGCTGCACCATTGTTCAGGGTAGGATTACCATTTCAGTTCCCATAGGTAAAGGAGGTAAAGGTTTCCCCCTGACATTAAGCCCAGTCGTGTCCAACTCTGGGGGTTGGTGTTCATCTCCATTTCTAAGCCAAAGAGCCGGTGTTGTCCATAGACACCTCCAAGGTCATATGGCCAACATCACTGCATGGAGAGCCATTACCTACCTACTGAAGTGGTATCTATTGATCTACTCACATTTGCATGTTTTCGAAGTGCGAGGTTGGCAGAATAATAGAATCATAGAATCAAAGAGTTGGAAGAGACCTCCTGGGCCATCCAGTCCAACCCCATTCTGCCAAGAAGCAGGAATATTGCATTCAAATCACCCCTGACAGATGGCCATCCAGCCTCTGTTTAAAAGCTTCCAAAGAAGGAGTCTCCACCACACTCCGGGGCAGAGAGTTCCTCTGCTGAATGGCTCTCACAGTCAGGAAGTTCTTCCTCATGTTCAGATGGAATCTCATTTCTTGTAGTTTGAAGCCATTGTCCTTTGTCCTATTCTCCATGGAAGCAGAGAACAAGTTTGCTCCCTCCTACCTGTGGCTTCCTCTCACATATTTATACATGGCTATCATAACTCCTCTCAGCCTTCTCTTCGTCAGACTAAACATGCCCAGCTCCTTAAGCCGCTCCTCA